AATAAATGAATTTTACAACAGTAAATTTTGATTATACATTTAAAAATTTAACAGTAAATTAACAATCTCGATTATTGGTCAAATGTAGTTTTTGCAGGCGATTCTAAAAACAATATAATATATTTCCTTTTTTCGATTCAGATCTCGAAAGCCTATATATTTTATATCACATATAAAACATAAACAACAACAAACTGCATGTGCCCTGTTATTATACCGATTTCGCTCGTCGCGACTCGTTGCAACGTTAATCAATGTAATCCGATAAGGGCGCCGCCTTATAATAACAGGAGAAATAATTTTTGAAAAGTAATGAAATTAATCCTATAGACGGTATGTTATTGAAAGGAAGTACATACAGATGATACATACACAAGTATGACGTTCGTCACGTCGGTGTGGTTAAGTTATTCTCGATCGGAAACTCCGTATTTTGCTTTAGACTCTCACGTATATGTATGTATCAGCACGCCATGATCAAAAATACAAACATGTCGGTTAAACCTGTCGTGATAAAGAATCGAAGGCTATTTATAATTCGTGTTCACACCACTATTTGAAGGAAAATAAAATTGTCGTCATCATATTTGTCATGTATATCCTATTTTAAAAAAAGATTCTACCGGTGGAAATTTTATCGATAAATAAAAATCTCCGACTTTAAAATATACGACTTTAAAATTAAAAAATGAAAAATGAAGGTGTAAAAAGCGTATAAATTTGAAAATCTTAAAACTGTCTTAACTCTTCGGGTTTAGATATGAGTAAGTGTAACTTTCTTTTATCATATTTGTGTCAGCAACATATTCATGTATTTTTTTTTAGCGAGTAAAGTAGCGAGTTCGTATTATTAAAATGTTTAATCAGCTACGCACGTCCATCTTACTTCTTTCAATTTCTTACGCTTAGCGCAAAATGTGACCGACCGATTCTGATTATAATTTAAATGCACTCGCCAATATGGGTCGCAAAGTACGCCATTCACACACATGTCTCGGACGGCGATATCTAGCATACCGGATACCTCGAGGGACAGTCACGAATTAATTAATCGTCGAATAGGCGTTAACGCAAACCGTAATAATGGCGATCGACCGATGACGATTAAGGCCAATCCAGTCGGCGGCAAAGATATGCAGAGAAAGTCCGGTCGGCCCCGTGTCGTGAACGCCTGATGTGTCCGGTCATTGCACCACATAATTCCTTCTACTTTTTTTTTTACCTTGCGCTGCGACCGCTACCAGTGTCAGAATGCAATTTTATTCAGATGCTATCTGCGTGTTATCACTATCGTATTTCATGCAATCGCGTTTAGACGATTGTTCAGGAGATCAAAACCCGGAAAGTCTCGTTTCGCGATAATAAATTGAAAAGAATATACTAAATTTTAATAAATATTTATTTGAGTAGTTCCAAGTAAATATTTATGAAATTTAAATACATATTTACGTGGTACAAAAAATATTAATTTGATTTAACTATCATTTTTCTTCCTCAGTAAATATTTATTTATTTAATAAAAAATAATAGTTAAAAATAAAAGTCATATCAATGGTTTTTGTATCACATTAATATATGTTTACATTTAGTAAATCTTTACTTAAGATTATTCAAATAAATATTTATTTACTGCAAATAAATATTTATTTACTATTATTTAAAGAAATATGTAAGATTTAGTACATTTCTTTTCACTAAATAGAATAAAACGGAAGGAAGATACATAATAAAAGGAACGTGTCGTCTTTCGTTGATATGGGAGAATCGCGTTTTCAAAAGTCGCACTTTCTCATCAGTACAATTTTTTTAATGAACTTGGAGCCGGTTTCCAGCAAGAGTGTTTAGTGATGAATTTATATTTATACGAGCGTGTGATTCTCTCAAGTTTCAAGATTGAATAACCGGACGCTAATTTTTGTTGAGTTGCATTTCTTCTATAAGAAATTGTAAACAAAGTTATAAATAAAGTTTTAAGATTTTCTGAGAAATAAATAATAAAGTATTATTTATTTTTTAAACAAATTCAAGCAGCAAAAATACTACTTTCACTTTTCTATACATTACATTTCTTTTAATTACTAATCAAAGATTAATTATCTTTTTTTTCGTCATTCGTCAATAACAGTTCAACTCTAAATTAAAGAATTATTATTATTATAGAGCAGTAATAATTATTGTAACCATATAATTATAGTTACCAAACATTTTTCTCTCAGTGTACTACGAAAATATGCATTAAAAGTTTTTACATTGAATCATCTACTGCAGAGCCATAAAACAAATTCTTTGCTGCTCGAAATCTTGATGAATACAATAGAAATGAGGAAGACCTTTCTTTATACTTTAAAAGATCCTGTTTCAGATATATAAGCCCATTTGTCTAGTAAAAAAAATCTCTAAGTTCAAGAATTAATTGATTGTTAAATTTTGTTTGCGTCGCTTCGAAAAGAAATCTCCTGGTCGAAAGAAAAATTCTCCGAGAGGGCGATTTAAAAAGGCACAAGCATTTTTTAATATTTTTTCAACAACAAAGCTTGATTTTTTAAGAATATTTCTGTAAAGTTATAAATCGAAAAATGGAAAAGTTACACAAAATAATAGTCAAACGCATCGAGCGAGTAAAATTTAAACAAACGGGCTTATATATCTAAAACAGGATTTTTTTAAGTATAAAGAAGTGGCTTTCTCTCTAAAGTATAAATAGATTCACCGGAAGTGTAAAACTTTTAATGTATGAGTTCGTAGTACACTGAGAGAAAAATGTTGGTAACTATACTTATATATTATAATAATTATGATTATTACTGCTATAATAATAATAAGAGTAATCATATGTATAATTGACAACCTAAAATGACTATAATTATAGTTATTATAACTATAAAAATGGTTGAAATTATCATAAAAACGATTCAAATTACTATAATTTTACTATGACTGTACTACGATTCTTACTGTGATTCAAATTATTATAATTTTAAATACTAATTGTAAGTAAGAATATATATTTTTATATACTATAATTTTATTTTTTTTATGTTAGTATATTTTTTTCGCAATCAAAAAGCGAACAAAATTTTTAGTGAAAAATCGATATTTGATTTTGACTAGCTGGCATTTTGCTCAATGCAATATTTCGAAAAATGTCAAATAACCAGATATTTATGTTTTAATTTTATAAAGCTTGTGTCACTTTGCTTTCAGATGAATTCTGTGATCACCGCACACCATGTTTTTTTAGAACGAGCTTCACAAGAATAACGTCGCTATTTTTAATTACTTTTTAACAAAATTTAAGTGACAAAGGGAGAAAAATACACCTTTACAATGAAATAAACTCAACTTCTACATCTCTTTTCGTTTTTCTACAAAAAATTCACAAAATTAAGCTTTGTTTTTGCATCTAGATACCTATGCCCCCTTAACAAAATGACGAGAAGGAGATGAGATTCACGATGATATCAATACAGAATTAGTTATGACCTTGCTGCTTGCTGATGTATCGCTTGTAAGAGGTATCGCGCACTTCCGGTTGGTTATTCATGTGCCAAGGCTGCACGATCGAGAATATAGCGCGCACGTACGCGACGTGTATCTATCTATGTCTTAATTGCCGCTGATCTGAACGCGTAATTACCGATGATATGAATTAAGTACCGGCCCAATTTTTTCATCGCCCGGAACAACTCGATTGAAATGAAAGCGAAATGTCGGCGAATCTGTCGATTATTGATAAAATATCGATGTTATTTTTGCAAATAATGCGGCTTCCGATCTACATAAACATTCACGAACAAATAAACTTTAAGATATATTCTATGATCCGGCTCTCAATATAACTACTTGAATAATAAATCTGAGAAAATATATAACTTAATTAATCGTGCGACGATGTTGGGATTAATGAGGGGATGGTTTATTCATTAACGTATTATTTATCATAAATGATAATGGGTTCAATTTAATATAACTGCTTTTGTGATATTTTTTGTGCATTTACAGTTCAATTAATTATGCGTAATGTGTTTGCCTTTGGCGATAATGTAACATGCGTAAAAATTGATTACTTCGGGCATACATTTATCCCATCAAATTACTGACTAATTCATATGATGTTAAAACGACATATTGGTAAATCTATCAAGTGACTTCAATATCTCTATAAATATATTATAATATATTATAAAATAGTAATATTAATTTACCTGCAATTTTTTATCAATCCAGTCATAATATGAGAAATTTTTCTTCTTTTTATTTTTGTGAATTATCTACAAATATTCCGGATCAATACAATACCAGATACATTAGTCAGTTATCCTTCAATCATCCATAAATGGAAAGAGCGATTTTACTAAAAATATCTAAAAATTTAGCTAGATGTATTCCAAAAATTTACATTATGATATTCTCAAAATTAATTTTTTAAATTAAAATTAATATTTTATTAATGTTGAACAACAATATGAGTGGAACAACAATAAGGTAAAAAATTAAGCTTTATTTCATACATGGAGAAAATGTTTTTTTTAGTTATCTAAAAACTTAGCTATAAATGCAAATTTAAAAATAATTTGATTGAACTTTCAACATAATTATATAGGAAATTCAAACCTAATAAGCAAAAAATTTGGCATTCTAGTATATAACCAGCGAACTGAGCGTCCTACATAATTATTTTAATAGTTCAACAGATTCATGTTCAGATCTGTATTTAGCTAAATTTGCAGAATTTTGCTGCAGCAAAAACTATTTTTTTTGTATATGAAACAGAGTTTAATCTTTTAGTTTATTGCTATTCTACTAATCCAACAATAATAAAACATTAATGTCAATTTTAATTTTTACAAAGTCGATTTTGAAAATATCACAATGTAAACTTTCAGAATATACCGTAAAACAATATACAATAAAACAATAAGATATTCCCTCTTTTTCTTATTTATAAAGTTCTAATCTCTAGCGATCATTTAACAAATTCTGTTTCGATTTTCACTCACCCTTGGCCCATCCGGTCAGCACATTTCCAAGATACGCGACTTTATAGGAGGGATCGTATTCAGTAATCGACGCGTTGCCTCTGTGCCTCCTCCAGAGCCGACCCAGTCCTCTCTTCAAGGATCTCAGAGTCCTCTGACCGAACTCCTTACTCGCACTGGAAGGCTGCACCGTGCCATCGTTCTCGTCGATGGGATCCGCGACGACATCGCCCATCGTCTTCATCCTCGCGTTTGTGTCTTTGCGAATAATTCCTTGAACTTTTGCACTGGTTTCTAGTTCACGTAAGAAAGTCCACACTTTTCGGTCGAGGTCACCGTGCTACATTGTGCCGCCACTTCGTCGTGCTTCGTGTTTTATTCGAGGGGACGAGATATACGATTGACGGATTGACTTCTTTCCCTTCCTGTCGAATAAAAAGAAACCGTCTTGCGATCGCGGTTGGTGTCGGTGATCGAGAGGGATTGCGAGACTCGTATAAATCGTCGGCGTTAAGCTATGTAAGCGACTGTCGATCGATCGTCAGAAACTGTCGTTCGCCGCTTCCAAGGCTGTACCTCTCCTCGATCGTTATTTGCGCGCGCGTGGAAAGATCGCGGTTTCGTTCTCTCGTACGACCCCGCGTGTCATTTCCTTTCCTTCCGCGTTCCTCCTGCCCGCCGGCGAAGCTCACGATATGTTTCTGAAACAAAACGAAAAATCGTTGACGTAAAGGTCAATTTCCAAGGGGCCGACCGGTTATCGGCTCCACGAAATAAAAACGGTGTGACTTACATACGTTGGTAAAATACATTTTTTTTTTTTTTCCCCCCGGTATAACGGATCCTCGATCGAAGATGCGCGAAATAAATTGCGGAAACGCTTGGATCGATCGAGATTTATTGGCTCGGCATCCTTTGAACGTAATAAGTTTTTTTAAACTGAGCTGTCAAAGCTCAATTTTCGAGAAAGTTTTTGATTGAGGTTGCGCCCAAATAGATATTAACTAAGAAACTTTCTCTCATGCGTTTTCTCTTAATATTCGATCGGAAAAAAGACAAAGTGGCAGGAAAATATATATCAGAGTGTATATATAAATAAAATACTCGGGTGCAGGAGTAATTAAAGTAATAAAAACTTGTTTTTACATGTAGATTGTCTGCAGGAATTAGAAATTGGTCACAATCAATTGGTTACGATTGAATTTTCAATTTTCTTTTAACGTTTCTAGTATCTTAAGAAAGTTACATTCAAAGTAGAAAGTACTACTTATAAAAATACACATGTGGGAGAAAGTAATGGAACTGATAACGAGTGCAGTGTTCCAAATACGTACGAAAGTGATCATGATTTAGTCACATAAAGCTTTTATCGTCTCTGTAAAAAATATAAGATAATATTTAAGCCCCTCTCCCCCGCACAATTCTGAAAAGAACGTATAATTATTAGATAATTATCAATAATAAGACGTTGCTATGGTCGATATTAAATCAGTTTTTTCCCTTTCATCACGTAACGTTCAAGCGCATAATGATCGATATTAACAAGAACGAGATTGCCTTTCTTGTGGAAACTGCACCAACGTTGAAATATTAGTTTTCGCGAAACGTAACGAGCTCGCATGTAGAACGTGCATTGATAAGAATTTAAACGAGGACGAGAGGCAAACTTAAAACGGTTTGGTGGATTTTTAGTACAAGGCTGTTGTACCTCGTGCTTGTTTTAAGATCGTAATGTACGAGAGTACGCGCGCGTTCGTCCGGTCAATTTATCTCACCGGAAATTACGGTTTTCACCGGAAATCTTGCGGTCTGCCGCGAGATTTCTCGATCTTCGCTAAAATCCCTGTTTAATGAATCTGTTGTAATAAATTCCATGTTTTATCGCGACGATTAATATTAATTATTTAATGAATTAACATGCTCTCTAAAAGTAAATTAGTATATTACTGATATGATGATTAGTATTTACTGATTTCGGTGGTACTTATAAATGATGTATCAGCGAATGTGTTTACTGTTTTTCAAAACAGTAATAGTACACTAATTCACTTTCACATGATTTTCTATAGATTGACTTGTAGAAAATCCTAATCTCTTAAAGTGAGTCAGTGTATTATTATACTAAAAAGTATTCGCTAATGATTACATTAGTTGTAAGTGTGGCACTGAAGTTACTAATTCACTTTTAGAGAGTATATTAAATTAAGTAATAAGTAATAATTATATAGAAAAGTATTTCACTGAATTCTGTATTTTTTCATTATTGATCATTAGAATGAATATTAAAAAATCAATAAAATTACAAATTTCAGTTTTCTGTTTCTCTGAAGAATTATTTTGCGCACTGTGCTGGAGTACAGCGGTTAGTCGTCTCAACATTGCGAAAAGGACTCGGGAAAAATATTTCCGGATTCGAATTAATATTTTTCGCTTCTTCTCATGCGTTTCTCTAGTCCTAAAACTGTCTATCATCATTTGCTAAATATCCCGTATTACGCGGCGCTGCTATGTTGTTTACGAATATTTTTCATAATTGAAACATGTGCGACCAGCGTGGATAATCGTCTAGTATAATCGGTATAGTTATAATGCAGCGACAGGTGAATTCTTGTTGTTTAAACGTGGGACTTGCTGCATAATTTCTTGCAAAATAATGTGGAAGATAAAAAGTTACGACAGCGTTTTCGTAATTCATCGACTGCGTAGGAAGCTCTCTCTTAATTATACACAAAATAAATGTTGGCAGATATACAAATAATAATGTTAAAAAAATATAAAAAGAATTTTTTCAAAAAATTATCAGTAGAAGAATTGCAAAATTATTCCTCCAATTTATTATGTAATAACATAATAAACCTTGAGATACATCCTATATCCATCAATTAATTACGTAATCATATACGGAATAAATAAATAATTATCGCATTTGTCTGTTTGTTCATTTAGTAGTACTATCGCTAACTTCGAATCTAAGCGAGAAAATTAATGACCTGTGTGCGTGAAGCACACAATGCGCCGTACGATTTTTTTTCCCATGCAGAACTTTGCAATTAAAAAATATGAATTTTTAAATACGCTCGCAAGGAACATTTTGAAGTCAATGTTGAATTTAAAATAAATATTTTATAAGATTATTTTTATGAAAGGTCTTCCTCCAATATATGCAGATTTTATACAAACCACTTTTTTCATATTAAAACATGAAAATACGCGAAATTATCACGACAGTCATTATTTGATGATAAAAAACCTCCATTTTAAAAACATACAATTTGAACACTTAAAAAAACATACTTATATTAAGTACATATGTATAATTACTGCAATAATGTAAAAACATATTAATTTTTTAATAATATAATTATTTACAGATTTTAATATGTCATTTATCATTATTAAGATCGAAGATGCGAATAAGCATCAAAAATTTATTAAATTGCTAGTCAATTTAATTCGTGATATTACTGCGGTAATTTAGTAGAGTTAGCGTTTCAAGACCGAAAAATCATTTTGGCGCGCGTTTTTAAGAACTATATACATAGTATATAAATTCATAAAAGAATCATACAAGCATTAAGATCCAATTAGACCGTTTAAGGCTTTGATTTCTATAGTTTGTGTTATCACATATACAGTCCTATAATATATTATATTGATGTTTTTTATTTAACGATTGCGTAAGTTTTATTAGAGACGTAAATTAGCAAATATATATAGCATGACTAAGAATTCATAATTGTAGATTTTAAATATGTAAGACTTCTTTTAAGTTAGGTATATAACATTGTTACACTAAAAAAAATGATGTTATGCAATAGTATTGTTTTAATTAAAAATAATCTTGTTAATTCAAAATAATAGTATTAATGAAACAAATAAAATTTTATTAAAACAATAGTATAATGTTTTGTTTCATTAATAGTTGTTATTAAATTAATAAAATAATTTCCAATTAAAATAATGTTGATATAGCCCCTTTTTTTCAGTGTATCTTTTAAAATCTGGCTTAAAAATATAGTCCACAATGCAGAGATAAAAACAGGTTAATTTCGGTCACTGCGTTTTTACGCCTGGTAGGTTATAAAAATTTGCAATTTCGGAAAAATCTACATATAACTCTGCAGATAAACATTATACATTCGCGTGTAACACAATTCTTCGAGGCCTCCGAGACTAAGTCTATATTAAAAATAGTCAGCTGATTTGCATCTGCGTAAGAAGCGAATAGACACGATGACTGCCCTGACGGAGAACAAGTGTAATATACTGGAAATAAATCATCAGAGATTTATTGACCGTCTGTCGTTGTCATCGCGTAACTGAAAGCTCTCATGCGCTCGACGCAAAGCAGACGGTGCATAAAACTGTCCAATTCACATTGCATGGACTCATTGTCGCCGTGCAGATCAAGTTGCGTTACGTCAAGACTGACATTGGTCGCCACACCTGCGGTTTGTCTGTCTTGCCCGGTGTTTTGCGTGAATCGCGTACGTGCATCTTGGCGTGCGGTTCTATAATTTTGTCGGGTAAAAAATTGCAATACGCCGATAATTGTGACCGATCTCGCTTCCTCGCACGATCCCCGGTATGATCCGCGAACGAAGACGTTTAACCCGCGCGGATATTTAACCTCGATGTGTCATGCATTAATTAGAATCACGCAAACAACTTGAGGTCGTTCGGTCAAGGCGTGCCTGCAATACGATGTCAAGATGGTGTTACAATGAAATATTACGATCTTATAAAAGTCGAACTTAAATTCCAAATTTAATTTACGCACGAAGATAAATGATAATGTATTTCTACATGATATTTTGTAATAATGATAAAAATACAAATTTGTTTAAATTAAAGAAAAAATACAATATAAATTACATCACTCTAATTCTGCAGATCAAAACTACTAATTCTTTAAATTAATTAAACTTTGTAAAATTATAAAAATATATAATAATATAAAGAGATGTTTATATTACATATAGTTTAGAAGATTAGTTAGAAGTTAGTTTCATGCGATATATTAAGATATTTAATAAAGATAATCTATTATATATAATCGTTATATATAATCTGTTATATATAATCATGACAATTTGTTTACTTTACTTTTTTAATTACTTTTAATTATCACAATTCATACATGATCATTAAATTCATTGTCATTTATATAGAGACGTTATAAAAATCCAAATATTAATGATACATATTAATGACTTTAATGAAATTTCGTACACGTGTAACGTGTTATTAATTAATTTTTTTTAATAAATAACTAGCTTTAATAAATAGCTACAGATTGATAAGATAAAAAATGAACTAATGGAATATTCCACTGACACGCGAATGAAATCGCTCGTTTTTATGCAAAATGGTTTAAATGTAATTTTTTTATAAATCTGTCTAATTATGTCTATATAATAATATTTATGTAACATTTGCTGACATCACATTTGTGAATAATCAGTTATTTATCGAACTATTGTTTTTGCCTAATTTACTTACGATAAAACTTCTTTAGAAACGTAAAAAAGAAAAATAAAATAAATCATTGTTTTTTTCAGTCAAAATAAATCATATTGTTTTCAATCAATTTATATATTTAATACATAGATATATTCAATATGTATCTTCATTTTTAATAAGATGAAGTAACAGAATTGCTAGTAAAATAATTTTTTAAATAAAAAATTATCAGCAATCG